CAAATCATATCATAAAATAGAAAGGGAAATGACATTACCAAAAGCATTTTTTAAGACAACCATTATCCTGATATCAAAACTGGATAAAGACACAAAACAGAAAATCATATCCATGGTGAACATGGATATGAACATTTTCAGCACAGTACTTGCAAGGAAAAGTCCATTACATTAAAATGTCATTTACCACCACCAAATTGGCATCATTCCAAGGATATAAGGATGGCTCAACATATTCAGTCAATAACTGTGATATGGCTCATGGATAGATGCAAGGGCAGAAATCACAGGGTCACCTCAATGTATGCAGAAAAGGTCTTTGACAAAGTTAAACTCTTTTATGATACATTTAAATGCTGAAGAAACTAGGGATAAAAGGAATATATTTCAACATAATAAATGGTATATATAAGAAAATTCTATCCATCATTATACTAAATGGGAGAAACAGCATTTGCTCTAAAATTAAGATGACACAAAGGGTGACTAGTTCCTTTACTCCAGTTTAATATAATTCTTGATGTCTTAAGAGCAATAAAGAAAGAGAAAGAAAGAAGGGAAACCAGACGTAAGACACAATTTAAATGATCTGATTTGTAAGTGATATGATTGCATGTTTGAAATTTAAAATAATTTCAGCAAAGTAGCAGGATATAAAGCCCCATACAAAAGCCACCAGCTTTCCATCACACCAACAACAAACATGATAAGAAATATCTGGAAAACAATTTTATGCATTATTGTTTCAAAAACAAAATGAAAGAACTAAATACCTAGGAATATACATAAGGAGGTTAAAGACAGCTACAATAAAGCTTTAAAACACCAAATAAGGCCGGGCATGACAGCTTGCTTAATCCAACCATGAACTGGCAGAAGAAGGGGAGTTGCTACAATTTTGGAGTCAGCCTGGTTTACATAGTGAGGCCTTGTCTCAAAAACCAATACTTACCAACCAACAAACCAGCCAACCAACCAACCAACCAAACACACAAACAAAAAATAGAAGACACTAGAAGATATAGAAAGCCATCTATGATTAAGAATATCCAAATATGGATATAGTCCTGAAATAAATCTAGAAATTCAATGCAATTCCCAATGACATTCTTTAAAGAACTAGAGAAAAATTCTAAATTTATATGATGAAGAAAAAACTCTTAATATTCAAAGTAGTTCTTAGTAGGAAAAGCAATACTAGAAGTGTCTAAATCCTGGTCTCAAATTCTATTACAGAGACATTGATGGGAGATGTCATTCTGTAAATATGTTTCTCATACTGGTTAATGAATAAAGCACTGTTGGCCAATAGGAAAGCAAGATAGGTGGGGCTAGGAGACAAGGAGGATTCCAGGAAATAGTAGGGAGGAGTCAACATGGAGAGACTGGGGAGACCAGAGGCCTGCCCCACTCCCCAGTAAGATGAAACCACATGGAAATACTTAGATTAATAGAAATGAGTTAATACTTAAGATAGAGCTAGCCGATAAGAAACTAGTACCTGGCCAACAGGATTATATCAAATACAGAGTCTTGGTGTGTTAATTGAGGTTGCCGCCACGGTGGGTCCAGGCCATGGGACCGGCGGCGGGGGAAAAACTACTCCTTACAAGACATGGTTTTAAAAAGAAGTAAAGAGGCATGGTACTGGCACAGAAATAGACACAGACCAATGGAATAGAATAGAGGCCTCAGATATAATCTATAGCTACAGTGTTAGAACCAACCACATTCCAGAAACAGGTGCTCCCTCATCCCCCACCCAGCCACCAAGGACATAGAGCCAGCATCCATGTCATCACAATGCAACAGGTTTCCACTGTGCCATGGTCCCCTATGCTCTTGCTTGGTACCCCCTACAAAGTACTTGCCATCACCCCTCTCTCTCTCCCTCTGTCTCATCCCTTCTCAGAGGCAGCATTTTGGGCCCCCCTCCCAATAAATCCCTTGTGTGAGGTCTGTTGCATGGTGTTATTATTGTGGCTTTTCTTGGCCCTCCAATCCCTCAAAATACCCTTACATACAGTTGTTTTATTTTCAACTGCAATTACTAGACATACAATAGGAAAAAAAGACAAGCTCACTCAACAAATGGTGTCAGGAAAACTTTCTCCTTTTCTTCCTTTTATCGCTGGGCCGCAGGGTGGGACTTCCATCCTCAATTAATCTCTGGAAGCACTCTTACAGATGTGACCTGATCTGAATCTCCTAGGAGATTTGACAATGAAGTCAAGTTGACAATGAAGAATAGCAATCACAGCTACACAGTGAGTTCCAAGCCAGGGTGGGGTACAGTGTGAGATGCTGTTAACAAAGACACACACACACACACACACACACACACACACACACACACAAAAAAAAAAAAAAAAAAAAAAAAAAAAAAAAAGGAAATGTGAGTCCTGGTTTACATAGTGAGCATCTAAAAGAGGGATCTGCAAACAGTCCTGAGTATTTTGGAACAAGATTTATGGCCATTGATGTTAGAGATGAGTACAACATCCATTATGGGAAAGTGATGGGGAATGTCCTTTTGTGTGCTGTAACAATATGTTTCTCTTATTGGTTGATTAATAAAGCTGTCTGGGCCAATGGACAGGCAGAATTTAGCAAAGGTGAATTCTGAACAAAGAGGCAGTGAGAAGAAAGACAGAGAGAAGGGATGTCATGTAGTTGCTAGAGAGTCATGACACCCAGGCATCACCAGTAAGCCAAAGCTATTTGATGATATACAGGTTAATTGACATAGGTTAATACTTAGCAGAGAGCTAGCCAGTAAGAGGTCTAAGTCATTGACCAAAAAAATTATAAATATATATTAAGTCTCTGAGTGATTATTTCCTAGCAACTTTGGGGACCTGGTGGGCAGACAGAAACCTGCCCACTGGGCATTCCATTTTGGGTAGGGGTTGAGAAAGAAAGGGGGACATACATAAACAGTCCTGAGTTATCATGGTGACAGATACATATTGTTTTTTCTCCCCTAAGTCCTCAGATAGAAAATACAGGACCCAATTACACAGAGTCTCTAACTGGCTGCTATCTCAAAATTACCTAGGCTGATCTCTTACTTTCAGGTATAAATCTTGGAATCCAAATTTTTATCATTTAAAAGCAAAGGACTTTAATATGTGATAATGGAGGGTTGGTGAGCATTGTGTTTTGGAAAAAGCCAATTAACCAAATCTGAGCATTCATAGCTAGGAACAGAACTGACAAGGCCATCAACATCAGGTCCCACACTGATGCAATGAGCACAGGAATCACTCACACTCTGGAGCTGGTCTCTGTGGGACAACTTTCCTGCTACTCAGGAAACTGGATGTGCCAAAGTCACCTTTGCCAAATTCATTCATGCAGTTCCAACTTTGCCCCATCTCCATATGCTGAGTCAAGGCTCAGCATGAGGACATTCAACCTGTGGAGCTGAGGACTCCTGTGGTGCCCAGCTGAGGAATGTTTGGGAAAGGGAGAGCGATGTGGGGGCTTGCTGTCTGTTTCCTTTCTATACACTTCCTAGGTATTCCCTTAATGTGTAAAGAGAGTTCAAGAGCAGTTACAAGATGGAAAAATATGGTAATACAGAGATGAAAGTAGATTCCTGGAAAAGTTATCTGACTAAGTACATGGGGTGGGGGGGGGGAGAGAAAAAGACTGATAGAGATACAGGATAGTGATGTTGTAGACTCCTCATATCCCTGGACTTTAGAAAGTGATAGTATGGTGGCACATAACTTTAATCCTAGCACCCTGGAGGAAGAGGCAGCTGCATCCATGAGTTTGAGGTCAGCCTGGCCTATATAGTAGGTTCCATGACAGCCAGGGCTATGTAAAGATATCTTGTCTTAATCAATCAAACAAACAAAACTACTAGTACACTGAGACCCAGGTTAGGTAAGAACTCACACATAGGTGTGTCTCATAGTAACAAAACAGAAGATGAACTCTGATAGATGTCATTCTGTACATATGTTTCTCTTATTGGTCAACAAATAAAGCACTGTTGGCCAAGAGGGAAGCAAGATAGGTAGGACTAGATTAGTAATTATGGCTTAATAATTTAGACAGAGCTAGCCAACAAGAAACACTAGTAACCAGCCAACAAAACTTATAGTTTGGTTAATTAGGTTTTGTAGATATATAGAGATATTTCAAATGGATAGTCATTCTTCAAACCTTTCATAGACCTACAAAATATGGAATTTAAAATGGTTTAGGGTTTTTCATGACTATGAGACACAACTGCTCCTGGCAACACCAATTATGTCTGAGAGGAAGATGGGAATTGAAGAAACTCCTTATGGAGTTTGTTTCAACATGGCATGACTATCTATTTCTGCAAGAAATGGTGATTGCCTGGACTGTTTGAGTGTTGCTGTATAAACTGGACATGCAGGACCCACAGGGAAGTGACTACTGAACTTGTAAAACAAGATGGACAGTGCCAAAGGGTTCCTGCTTCATAGGAGAGTCTGCTAGACATTTTGCAGGAGACAGAAAAATGACTGGCAAACTGCCAATACAGTTGGGCAGTTTAAAATTTTCTGCTTCACTGAGAAGTTTGTCAGACACACTGTAGCCTATGGGTCAAAGATGGGCTTTACAGAGAAGCTTTGGGTGACTGTCCAAGTAGTGAAATGCCTCTGTCAGTTCTAGGGTTTATATATTATCCTTCTGTGGTCTTTGATGGAGTTGAAGACAGTTAGCCATAGTTATAGTTTTCCTTAGTTACGATATAAGATAAGTTACATATAAGGTTTTAGACTCACAAAGATAAGATAAATAAAATATTTTCTTTAAATCTTGCTAAATGTTATTGGACTAAATATTTAATTATAGTTCTTGCTTAATAACTGTTTTGTTATGTATTTTACTATGTTAAAGTTAAAGCCCTTCTTTTTATTTATACAAAAAAGAGGAGATGGTGGGAGATGTCATTCTGTAAATATGTTTCTCTTATTGGTTAATGAATAAAGCACTGTTCGTCATCTAGAAAACCCTCAGACACCAATCCCTTTCCTACCTGAACTTTTCTTCCTCACCATCACAATGGCAGCCACAGCTCCAGTGACCACAACTCCAAGGAGAACCACACCAATAGTCATTCCAATTGTGGGCCAAAGAGGTGACTCTGGGAAGAGAGAAGAGTTGAGGAGCCCTAACCCCCACCTCAGCACTGATCCTACTTAGGGTCTCCAGAAGGTCACATTTTCCCTTGACAACAGGCTCTGTCTTCACATTCCTTCTTACCCCATCTCAGGGTGAGGGGCTCAGGCAGCCCCTCATGCTGCACATGACATGTGTATCTCTGCTCCTCCCCAGAAGGCACCACCACAGCTGCCCACTTCTGGAAGGTTCCATCCCCTGCAGGCCTGGTGTCCATCATCTCCATGTCCTGGGGCTGGTTTTCCCCATCCCTCTGCCAGGTCAGGGTGATCTCAGCTGGGTAGAACCCAAGGGCCCAGCATTTCAAGGTGACATCACCTTCAGGTCTAGGGCGATGGGTAACATGTGCCTTTGGAGGCTCTGAGGAGAAGAGTTGGAAAATTCAAGCATTTTGTAATTTCTTCTGGGAACTAAAGTAGAATACACATGCCTATCCTGGCAAAGCACAGGAGAATTGTGTGTATGTGGGATGGTGGAGAAGGGGGGTTGCAAACCCCACACAAGTTGTCTACACTCAGGCACTAGAATAATCTATTCCTTGAAAAGAAAGATTCCCAAGTTTCCCACCATGAAAAGAGGATTTGTAGTACTGCCTTGGGAGGTGGGATGAGAGACTCATCATCACTTGAGCCAGACCTCCAAAGCCATGTTGGGTGTAGGCAGAGAACTCAGCTCTGGGAGGTAACGGTTCACTACAGGCTGCAGAGTGAACAGGTCTGCTGCTGGTTATGGATCCTCTTTCCTATCATCCCCAGAGAACCTAAACTTCCCTGACAGAAGGCTGAGTCACTCTCTGATGTTGGGTTAGGAAAACCAGGAGCACTCCTTCCCCTGGTCCCATTTTCCTCCCTCCTTGGAGGCATGCGCCCTTCTCTGAGTGCAGATAGAGGAATTGCTTCTCAGCAGCTTTTATTACCTGAGCGCTGCAGAATCTCCTTCCCTAGCTCCAGGTGCCAGAGTAGCCAAGGTACACACCGGCCCCCGAAGAAGATGCCTATGTCCTCTGACACATTTTCTGCGTCCCACTGTCGCTGGGTGATCTGAGCTGTCGTGTCTGCCACAGTCCAAGTTCTCATGTCCTCGTTCAGGCTGATGTAGTCGCTTCCATCAAAGGCATGTCTATTGTGCCCACGGAGGAAGCGTTGGTCTGGACCCACTTCACAACCAATGAGAGACTGGAAGGTATGAGAGCCTGACGCCGCCCCTAAAGTTAGCTTGGATCACAGGGCCCCACCCAAAGCCCACCTATTGGACCCCACCCAGGGACCACCCACCCACAGAATTTCCACCTAAACCGAACCAGACACCGGGTCTCTTGGGTCTGGAGTCTCTGCTGTCTCAGCAGCCTTGAACCGAGCCTAGGACCTGGGACCTGGGACCTGAGGTGACTCGGGCTGCTTCGTGGGGGACATGTAAGGAGTTACTTACCGTCATCGCTCTGGTTATAGATCTGGATTGCAAATTGCAAATTTTCTTGGGCCTTCTGTGCATAATACTGCAGACTCTCTCTCTCCAACTTCCAATAATAGCGTCCCATCTGCTTTGCCCATGCCACGCGAGGCTCCACTTTAGTAGGAGCCTCACTGTCTTTGAAGCACAGGATTTGCATGTCATCTACATAGCCAACAGCAAAGATTTGGGGGTCTCCAAGACCCCTTAGAGTTCCGGTCGTGGTTACAGAATAGCTCAACGAGTGTGACCCTGGGGGTGGGTGGGTGCACAGTGAGACAGGGACCTTCCTCTGGGAACCCTGGATAGGTGCACAGGCTGGGAGGGAATCAGGGCACATGGCTCAGAATGCCAGCAGAGAAGGGGCAGGAGGGTCTGAATGGGGTATGCTGGAACCAGGCTTTAGGGATGCTGCCCAGGCCAATTCCCCTGGCTTCTCCAGGCAAAGGCTATTTCCCTCCTGATCCACACTCACCAGCTCCATTCTGGATCTCCATCAGGGTCTGAGCCTGGAGTACTGAGAGCAGCAGGAGGGTGGCAGGCAGCACTGCAGCCCCCATCCTAGGTGTCTGGAAAGCCTGGAGGGATTGAGACTTTGTTCCTCTCTGAGGAGTGAATTGCATCATGGTTTGTGGGGAGAGACCACAGTGAGTGTGAGTGGCTTTCTCCAGAATTCCGAGGCGCAGTGGGAGTGAGAACATGGGTCCAGATGGAAGGACTGGACAGCAGACAGAAGTTGAGGGCTACAGAAGACAATTCTGGGGCGATGAGGGAATTCCCAACCAAGACTTCCCCACCTCAGACACCTTGAAGACAAAACCTCAGACCAGGGACTTACAGAGACCCCTCCCCCTTGTAATTTGTGCCCTTTGTCACATCTGCTGTCTCTGAGTCCTGTTCAGGAGGTATGTTGAGATTCTGAGTGTTTTGCTTTCAGGATTTCTTGTTTGTCCTCCACATCATTAAATACCTCAAAGTTTTAATTAGGCTAAATCCAATAACATTTACTGTTTTAAAAGCTGCTCATGGTTGCCAACATCTGTAATCCCAGCTTAATCTACATGACACTGACATTGAAAATTTTATTATTTATGCGTGTGTGTGTGTGTGTGTGTGTGTGTGTGTGAGAGAGAGAGAGAGAGAGAGAGAGAGAAAGGAGGGGGGAGGGAGAGAGAATGTGTGCAAATATATGTCACCTGTGGGGATGCCATGGAGATCAGAAGAGGGAGTCAGGTTCCCTAGAACTGGAATAACAGGTGTTTGTGAGCTGGGTGCTAGGAACTGAACTGGGGTCATTCACAAGAGCAGTAAGCACTCTTAACCAGGGAACAATCTCTTCAGTCTCTTGATAGTTTGACTTATAAAAAAAAAAAAAGACTTAAAAAGTGAGACTGCTCTTATATTCTGCATTAAGCAGAGGTAATGAAGAATGTCTTAACTCCTAATGAGCTTTTCACAGCCTTGATTCAGACTAAGATGTCAACAGATTAACTCACTGTCAAGCACACTACAGAGAATATGGCAAGTAAATTTGAGAAGCATAAAAGTATTTTTGATATATGTACCCCATGAAAGTAAGTAACTTTATGGGTTCAATTCAGCTTCAAATGCTATTGGTTCTTTGTTTGTTTGTTTGTTTTTGTTTTTGTTAGTCTTGGAGGCACATGGATTATTACCACTACTCAAGAGGCTCAGGCAGGAGTGCTTCCAGGATTTGAGGAACAAACTAACTATATCATTTGTGTGTGTGTGTGTGTGTGTGTGTGTGTGTGTGTGCGCACGCGTGTAGGGATGCAGAATGTTGGAGAATAGTAAATGATTTATAGAAAGCCAATGTTCTTGGAGAATATGCAATTTCCTGTTGGACCTAGAGAACAGATGAGTTTGTAAATGATTTGAAAATTATTTTCTTTTGGCGTATCAGATGGGACTGAAGTTTGTGATGATGGTGTGTGGCAAAAGTCTGTGCAGAGTGCTAACAGTGTTTCCTACTGTCTTCTCCCTTGCATTTTGCTGTCATCCCTTTACTGATCTGTTTGTGGTGAGCTTTGTATTGTTTCTATGTGCAGGGTGGGTCTAGTGTTGCCAGATTCTAACTGGAGATCATCTTCCCACTCAGTGTAAGTTTCTGTGACCAGCACAGTTTTGCGCATTTGCATGGAAAAATAATGTGAAGTTCATTTATAAAGCAATTGAAAAACAAAACAAATAAACATAGACAACAAAAACATTATAAGCTGAGCATGATGGCACATGCCTTTAATCCCAGTACTCTGAAGGCAGAGGCAGGCAGATCTCTGAGTTTGAGGCCAGCCTGGTCTACAGAGTGAGTTCCAGGACAGCCAAGGCTACACAGAGAAACCCTGTCTTGAAACTCTAAATAATAATAATAATAATAATAATAATAATAACAACAACAACAACAACAACAACAATAATAATGGTAATAATGATATCAAATTAATTTTTTATCTTTAGGAGAATTTTAAAAAGAACACTATGAAAAGTGAAGTAGACAGATCCTGATCCATGACCGTGGGAAATGGCTGTTCACTTCATGGTATGAGAACTGGTCTAGCAATCTAAGGTCACTTGTAGGACTGGCCCTCCAATTGTCCTAATCTCATTTGCTTTGATTTACATGAATCCAGGGGTATATTTTTCTTTTATTTCGATGACAGTTGAGTGGTTTAGTAGTACTACATAAAGTTCTTTCTGATATAGGAACCCCAGGGGAAAAATCAAATATTTTTTTAGTCCTTTAAATATGAAGAGCACATATATCCCATTTTATAGAAGGTATGTGCAAGCCAAAGTGTGAGAGGTCACAAGAAGTCCATGTGGCCAGGATCCATCATGATGTCTGGACTCTTTTGTAGACATTTATTCATTTTAAACTGTGGTTAAATTATGGTATTAATTAAGTGCAAGCGTATGAATTGGGCACAAAAAGAATGAGGACATTTGAGGCTGTATGTTTAGTATCTGTAGGCCTACAATTTGCTATGTACATAGTTTTACATAGTTTTAGCTTCCTTTTTCTTTCTTTCTTTCTTTTCTTTTCTTTTTTTTTTTTTTTTTCAAGTTATGGTTTCTCTGTCCTGGAACTTGCACTGTAGACTAAGCTAGCCTTGAACTCAGAGATCCACCTGCCTACACCTTCTAAGTGCTGGGATTAAAGGTGTGCACCCCCCACCCCCAGCAGTTCTAGTTTTTTTGCTGTAGCAATGTTAGGGGGAAAGTGACTATCCAGTAACAAGGCATTCATGATAACATCTGCTGGCACATGAAGTACCAGCTGATGTTAAGAATATGTAGTTTCCTGATTGCGCCAACTTCTTGTCGAACTCTATATTTGTTATTTGGAGTCATTTTAATAGTGTTCATGTTTTCTTTTGTCAATCTTTTCAATGACATAAACTGACTTCCTAGTGAGATCAGTGTGCCCACAGGAAACTGGCATAGCCAGTTACAATCTGTCTTCTAAGGAACTGAAGGGTTTCTTCCCCTCAGAGCACAGTGGGGATGTCGATTCCACAGTCTGGGACAAGAATGAATAAATATAGACGTAGAACAGAAATGTGGGGGTTCTTTTCCCATTTTATTTTGCTCAAGGTATTTTCCACAAAATAAGTTGAAAACCATGGTGTTGAGAAAAAGACAGAAATAGGCAAGTGAGCACAAGAGGAAAAGGAGAAAAATAACTACAACTCACTCCCAGGGGTTGAAGAAAAGTAAAAAAGAAAAAAGATTGGAATCCTTTTTTTTTTTTTTTTTTTTTGTATTTGCTACCTCCTTCGTTCCCCTCCTTTCTTTTCTTCATCATCACCTTCATCTTCTTCACCTGCATCCTCATCCCCATCTTCAGTATCTTTCAGTCCTCTTCTTTCTCCTCCTCCTTCTTCCCATTCTCCTTCATCAGTTCTTGGTGATCTAAGCTGCTGAGTATGAGGGAAGGGGCCCTCCTAAATAACTAGCTATTTAGCATTCTGGTACACAAGAAGGGAAATAGGGTCAGTTGTGGCAGTCCTAATTTCTCTAACCAGAAAGTGGAAAAAGGCACACCACTATTTTTTGTAGCGCCTGCGCTACAGTCTGTTCCACTAATCTGGTGATGGCTTAGAGATTGAAATAAGAGGCAAGACAGTGGGTCTTAGCTCCTCACCAGCGGATGTGTGTTAGCAAAACAGGAAGAGTACCAATAACATCTCTGTGTCAAGATGTTCCAGCCAACAGCTTCAGGCTTGCTCAAGGTGCCTCCGGAGTCCATGCAGGTCCCTACAATTTTTAAAACTTCTAGTCCCTAATCTGCTTTAACTGTGGTTAGTCTTGGGATGTGACTGAGTTTGCCCAATGGCATATTTAACTTACATGGTATTTACTGATCTTAAGGGATATGTCCTGTTATTTAAAGGCAAGTCAGTTACTCTTCCACTGACCAACTTTTTATGACACCTGTAATCATTTGAAAGCAAAATCCTTGTTAGAGCTTTGCTTTTGTACTAGGCATAGTGTCTCATATCTCTAATCTCAGTATTCAAGAACCTGAGGCAGGAACACCATGGAGAGTTTCAGGCCAGCTGCAATACACAGTAAGAAACTGGAGCAAGAGTTGTAACTCAGCAGAGTGCTTGCCTGGCACAGAGGACCTGGATTTGATCATCATCTCATAAAACTAGGTGTGGTGGTGCACACTCAGCAATCAAGAAACAGAAGCAGGGGCTATAGACTTGAATCAGTAGTTAAAAGCACTTGCAGAGTGAATTGGCTTTTTGGAGCCCATTCTCTATAGAGGGATATCTTTCTCAGCCTAGATATAGAGGGGAGGGCCTTGGTCCTGCCCCAAATGATGTGACAGACTTTGATATTCCCCATGGGAGGCCTCATCCTCTCTAAAGAGCAGATGGCATGGGTGGGATGGGGAGATGGTGGGGGAAGTGGGAGGGTGGGAGGGAGACGGAACTGTGATTGGTATGTAAAATAAGATCATTTTTAATTTAAAAATCTTAAGGAAAAAGGAGCACTTGCAGAGGATCTGAATTTAATTCCCTCACTAATGTTGGGTGGCTCATAATCAAGAGTCTGGTCATTAAGGGTACTTGCAGAGATGTGAACATACCCTGCCCTCCACACACAAAGAAAAAGCAAATAAATATTTAAGGTGCGTTAAAAAAAAAAAATAGAAGCAGGAGAATTAGAAGTTCCAGGTCATCTTTGAATGAATGTACAATGAGTTCAAAGTAAGCCTGGCTGCACTGGACCCTGTTATAAACCACAATGACAACAACTCAAGAAACAGAAGTGTTTTGCTTTTGTGTCTTCAAAGAGTCTCTTTTGTGTGAGCCCTGTTTCTATTTTAGACAAAATCAATTTCCTGTAGCTCAGGGTAGCCTCGAACTAACAGAGATCCATCTGCATGTGCTGGTGTTAAAGGTGACAAGATTCAGGAATTTTGTCTTTCTGTTTCCAGGAATAATTTTCAAAGACTTGTGCAGCTACTTATAATTCTTAGACATGGAGCATCTCAGCCAACTACATGTTCTGGGCTTGTATATTTATATCAAGAAGGAATTCCTGGCCAGAGCAGAAGTGAGGTATCTACAGTCTGTGCTTCAGGATCTAACACACCAGGGTTCTAAAAACCTGTGTAAATCATACAACAGGAGACTTGGGTGTTCTTCTGTCTCCTGGGTGCATCATTTCTCCTTTTGCTTATTACTGTCTTATGAGAGAGAGAGAGAGAGAGAGAGAGAGAGAGAGAGAGAGAGAGAGAGAGAGAGAGAGAGAGATTCAGATACTGTCTCCTACAGGTTTCAAAATCAGTATCTGGTGTGGTACCCTCTGGTGGATACAAGTACTAGGGTGATGTTCCAGCTAGCTCCTTCCTGTGAAGGGAGGATCCTCCCTCCCTCCGAAGTCTTCTAACAACTTCTCTCTTCCCACATTGTTAAGATGGGCTCTCCTTTGTTGTTTGCACTGTTCTGTGTGCTCCAGCATAGCTGCCCTATGAGCTGCCAGGAGAGTCTTCTGTGTATCTCTAATCTCACCATGGGAATGCTGGGTTTGTGTGTTTTTGTGTGAGGGATCATCAGGCTTTCATCAGAACAAGATGAAATCTAAGAAATCTTGCTGAGCCTTCTTCCTTTTTGGCTCACTTCAGCCTCTCTAGTAGGTGGGATTACTGATGTGAACCATTGTTAACTAGCTTCATAATTTGATCCCTTTAAGCTATCACAATGCCACCTTCATTTGTAAGTAAATATAATCAGTATAATTGTAGTAAAAACAATTGATGTGGTTGCACATGACTATAATCCCAGTCCCAGGAGTCTGAGGCAAATTGCAAGTTTAAGGCTAGTCATTGCTATATAGTAGACTTATAAACTTAGAAATGACAAAATGCTACATCAAATAGTAACAATATTCAGAGTATGCTAAAGTAGCCCTTCAAAATATGTATTGCAATAAATTTGAAATCTAGAAGAAATGGATAAATTTCTTGACATATGTGACCTACCAAAACTAAACCAGGAACATATAAACAATATTGGGAAAACATTTTCAAATATATGCAAAGATCATGACTTTAGAAAAAGTACTCATTGTGGTGATATTTTGTTTATGATCTAACAAAGCTTGCCTGTAAGTCTGAGTGCAAAACTAGCCACACTAGTTAGCCTTAGAGGCCAGGCAGTGGTGGCACACACCTTTAACACCAGCACTGGGGAGACATGCAGATGGATCTCTGTTAGTTTGAGGCTACCCTGAGCTACAGGAAATTGATCTAGTCTAAAAGAGAAACAGGGCTCACACAAAAGTGATCTCAGCTTTAGGGATCCCACACCATTAATCCCAGCACTAGAGAGGAATATAAGGCAGGAGGAGACTGGAGCTCAGTGAGTCTGAGGAGCAGTCTGAGGTTCAGTGAATCGCCCCTTTGGTCTGAGCATTGGTAGAGGTGAGAACACTCAGGTGGCTGGCTGCTTTTACTTCTCTGATCTTTAGCTTTAATCCCAATATCTGTCTCTGGCTTTTTATTATTAATACCAATTAGAATTTGTGCTACAACTACTGGATCAAGAAATTATATCAAGAGTTGGCAAGTGAATTGTATGAAATTGAAAAGCTTCTGCACAGCAAAGGTAACAAGAGAGTGAAAAACAGTCTAAGAAATTCTAGAAAATCTTTACTGAAGTCTGGACTGAAGAAATTTATTTGGGAAGTGATATTAAATGATATTTAAAGCCTTGGAGGAGAATAAAATCACCAACAGTGTGATTAGCTGAAGAAGAGAAAGGAAGAAGTGGGTTCTGGCCCAGAACTTAGTGATCTCTTCAGAGCATTTATCTGGAGCAAACTGCACAGCTCTGGAACTGTGTTTAGAAGACCCATAGACTAGAGAGTCCCAGACTTTGCTGTAAAGAGGAGTCTCCTGGACATCTCAAAATTCAAAAATTTTGGTGCAGAAACTGCTGGTGTTCAGATAATATAGCAAGAAGGAGCCCCAAACTCAATATGTCAGCCTCACTGGTGGTGAAGTCATTCCTGAGGCTAGAGCTGATTGGTTCTATACCCAACATTGCCAGAAATTGGGCAAAAGTATTTCTGGGCCTTTAAGGCCAGTCTGCATTGCTGTATTACTTTTTTTCATTGTTGTGACAAAATATCTATCAGAAACAAATTAGAATGACTTATTCTGACTCACCATTTAAGAGGGTACAGTCTGTCTTCACATAAGGCATGGTGGAGTTCATGGGACTGGGAACATGTAGCCTGGACTCCCCAAACTTCAATGGATCAGGAAGCAGAGAATAGAAATCTCAGCTGGCTTCATCATGTTCTTCCTTTTATTCAATCTTGGCTCAAGGGATGGCTCCACCCACAGAGTACATCTTCCCTTCTCATTTAATCATCTCTGAAAACATTTTCATAGGCATGCCCAGAATTGCATCTCCTAGGATAAATCCAGTGAAGAGTAATTATCACAGCTACACAGTGAGTTCAAAACCAGCCTGAGGTGCAGTGGAAGACCCTGTCAAAAAAAATAAATGAAACAAAAAAGGAGGAAGTAAGTCCTGGCTTCCATACTCAACAATCTAAAGAATAGATTCAGAAAAAGGCCTGAATATTTTGGGGAAAGTTTCACGATCACTGATGTTAGCAGTAGGCACAGTATACACGATGAAGTATCTTGCATAGATGTTATTATTATTATTATTTTTCTGTTGCCCAAGAAAGAAAAAGGAGGACATTTATCAGCACTCAAGCTGGCATGTTCAGATATGCATATTGTTTTCTCTACCATAGGGTATAGCCTCAGATGAAAGACATAAGAAGTCATTATATAGGGAAAGTTTCTGACTGGTTCTTATCTGAAATTATTCTTATTTTTAGGTACAGATAATGAAGTCTAAATTCTTATTATTTAAACATAAAATGTTTTTTCTATGTGATGCTGGAGAATAGGAGATCATTTTGTTTTGGAAAAATCCAATAGACTAAATTCTGATAGGATCATCAATATCAGGTCCCACACATTGATCCACTGGGCAGAGAACTACTGGTGCCCTGGAGTGGGTCACTGTGACAGTTTCCCTGATGCTCCTGGAAACAGCATGTGACAATGTCATCTTTCCCAAATGCAATCTATGCAGTTCTGGCTTTTCTTTATCACCATGTGCTGAGTCGTATCCATGTGGTCATTCAACTGATGGAACTAAGGACTCAAACATTCATGTGCAGGAATGTTTGAGAAAGCGGTGAGGGACTTGGTCTCTGCCTCCTTTCTACACTGTGAGTATTTCCCTAGTGTGCAGAGTTCAAGAGCTGGGACGTGTGGTAAAGGGGTGGAATCAGAATGAGGAAAATTGATTTCTGGAAAAGTTCTCTGAGTAACTACATCTTGGGAAAGAAGAAGACTGATAGGGATGCAGGACAGTGATGTCCTGCAACCCTGGAATTTAAAAGGTGTTAGTACACAGAGTCCCTGGTTGGGTAAGCATGCTTGTATAGATATGTCTCACAATAGCAAAGCAGGAGATGAGCACATTTCCACCTAAGGCTTCAACACTGTGGAGACAAAACCCTCAGACACCAGTCCCTTCCCTTTTCCATACTTTTCCTCATCATCACAATGGCAGCCACAGCTCCAGTGAGCACAACTCCAAGGAGAACCACACCAACAGTCATTCCAATGTTGGGCCAAGAAGATGGCTCTAGGAAAAGAGGGTGGGGAGGAGAGGATAGGGTTGAGGGGTCACAATCCCCAACTCAGCACTCACCCTACTCAGGCATCTCCAGGCTAACTACTTTTCCTGACAACAGGCTCTGTGCTCACTTATATCTCTCCTTACCCCATCTCAGGATGAGGGGCTCGGGTAGCCCCTCATGATGCACAAGGCATGTGTATCTCTGTTCATCTCCAGAAGGTACCACCACAGCTGCCCACTTCTGGAAAGTTCCATCTCCTGCAGGCCTGGTCTCAGCCAGCTCCATGTCCTGCATCTGGTCCTCCCCATCACGTTGCCAGGTCAGGGTGATCTCAACTGGATAGAAGCCCAGGGCCCAGCACCTCAGGGTGACATCGCCTTTGGGTGGTCTGGGGTGATGGGTTACATGTGCCTTTGGGGGATCTGAGAGGAAGAGTTGGAAAACCTATGCATTTTATATTCTTTCTGGGAATTTAAGCAGTATTAATATGACCATCCCAACAATGGACAGTAGACTTGAGATGCTACAAAGGTACAAATCCCACACAAGTAGCCTGGACTCAGGATTCAGGATAATCTATTCCATATTAAGTTCTAGAATCATGGTGAGCCAGCCCAGTAGAAACTCCAGGTTTTCTACCACGAAAAGGGAATTTCAGGTCCTGAGTGAGTAGGACACTAAGAGACTTTGCATCCATCCCTCCTCCATCAGGCCTCCAAAAACATTGGGCATGGATAGTACACAGGCCTTGGGTCAGGCCATGGGTTGCAGCTCCAAGGAATGGCTGGTTGATTATTTCTGAGATCTTCCATCACAAGAAAGACCCTCTGAACATTCCTGAGAGAAAGATGGGCCTTTGGGAGAGTCAATCTCGATGTTGGGTGAGTAAACCAAGGAGCACTCTTACCCCTCCAGGTCAAGAGAGAGAGAGACAATATTCTGTCTGATCGCATTTGTCTACCTCCAGGGACACGAGGTCCAGTCCCAGCACAGATGGAGGAATTTCCTCATTGTCCTTCTTACCTGTTCTCTGCAGTGTCTCCTTCCCTATCTCCAAATGTCTGAGGAGTGTCTCTACACATCTTCCCTCCAGAATGGCTCTGATGCGGTCTGCTACACCATCAGCTTTCCACTTGTGCGCAGCGATCTGAGCTGAGGTGTCACCAGCGGTCCAGGAGCTCAGGTCCTCGTTCAGGCTGAGGTAATCTTTGCCGTCATAAGCGTGCGCATAGTACCCTCTGATGAGTCGCCCATCGGGCCCAACTTCACAGCCAATTAAACACTGGATGGTGTGAGAACCTGGTCCCTCCTCTGAGGTCAGCACTGTTCACAAAGCCCCACCCCATTCACTCCCGGTATTTGGACCGAAACTTATGTCAAAACCGGGTCCTGGTCTGATGGTGAAGACTGAACCCAGGGCATAGGGGCCTGAGACAACTTGGCTTGGAGTCACTCACCGTCACTGCTGTGGTTGTAGACGCTCATTGCCAATCTCAGGTTTTCTCGGGCCCTCTGTGCATAACTCTCGGCATATTTTACCTCCTCTTCCCAAAACTTCTGACCCATTCGCTTTACCCATGACCCTCGGGGCTCTGTTCTCGGACTCTCTGCATCGCTGTCGAAGCTCATGAACTCCGTGTCATCCACGTAGCCGACGATGATGACTCGGGGCTCCCGGACCCCAGGACCGGACGTCGTGGTAACAAAATAGCGCAGCGAGTGTGAACCTGGGGACAACGCGCCCTGCCACTGTGAGACCCTGAGCGTGCCCCAGGGATCAGCGGGCAGATGCAAAGTCCTGGAAGGGATTGGGGCACTAGACTCGGGACCGGGGGTAGGGGTGGGGGTTGGAGGGAGGGAGGGCAGACTCCCAGCTAGGGATCGGAAGGGTCTGTCTGGGCTTGTGAGATGAGCTTTCCCCTAAGAAGTCCTGGCCCTTCCCGGAGAGGTTGTTTTCCTGGACTCTGCACTCACCCGCGCTGGTTTGGGTCTCCTCAGTCTTGGTCAAAGCCAGCACTGAGAGCAGCAGCAGGATGGGACGCAGGGTTGGAGCCTCCATCCTTTATGTCTAGAAAACCTGGGAGCATTGAGATCTTGTTCCTCTCTGTGGAGTTTATAGCGTCATGTTTGTGGGGAGATACCACAGTGGCTGTGGGTGGTTTTCCCCAGAATTCAGGCGTGCAGTGGAGTGAGAACATTGTCTACCAGCTGACACAGGTGGTGAGCTTGAGATGTCTTGACCAGGGACTTATGGAGACCCCTTCTCCCTGTAGGTGGTGCTCTTTCTCACATCCACTCTCTGAATCCTGTTCAGAATCTGTGTCATTCAAGATTCTGAATGTTTTGGATTCAGGATCTCTGATTTGTGTTAAGACATTATTGATGACCTCCAAGAATTTTTATGTCGGTTGTGTCTAAGGACATTTATCTTGTCAAAAACTGAAGCTTAAGTGGTCCTGGTGGCTGGTGCCTGCCTGTACCCAAGGCTGGGTTGAGGCAGAAAGTTTGACCTGAGTTTGAGACCATTGTGGGCTACATGAGACCGACCTTTTTAAAAGTTATTTTTATTTATATATATGTGTGTAAGTTTGTGTGAGCATGAAGATGCCTGTGAAGGTCCGATTCCCTGGAACTGGAGTTACAGGAGGTTGTGGGTGCTAGGAAGCAGAATGGGGTCATCTACCAGAGTAGCAAGCGATTTTAACCACTGAGTCCTCTCTCCAGCCCCTTGAGACTCTGTTTTAAAGGCTTTTTTTTTTTTTAAGATATTTTACAAATGTAATTGCCTCTTATTCTGCTGGCAAGTGGTGGTAAAGAGTATAATAACCCCTAACTGGTTTGGTTTTACAGTATCGATTCATACTAAGGTGTCAACAAGACTATCAAGCACAATACAGAAAATATGGCAAGTAAATTCTAGAAACTTTTTATTTTAGCCTCATGTATCCTGTGAAAGTATCAAAGTAACTTTGTGTTTTCATTGAGTTTTAAGAATTACTGTTTTTAGTCAGGCTTAGTAGCACATGCCTTTATTCATACCACTTTAAGAGGCGGAGGCAGGAGAGTTGCTGAGCTTTAAAGAATAGCATGGGCTATATACAAACTTTTATATCACTTTCTAAGTAGGAGAAGAGGAATGCAGAATGTCAGGAGATAATCAGCAATTTTTTTTTTGAGGTCTATGGACATGGAGAGCATCAGTGGCCTGTTGTGTCCAGAAAACAGGCTGTGAATTGTTCTCTTTGGAGCATTGAATAGCATTGGAGTAGATGATGATGGTATGTGGCAAAAGTCTGTCCAGGATGCTAACAGGCTTCCTTCCATGAGTCAGTTAACAAAACTGACAGAGAGGACCAGAGGAAATTGTTTTCTGTTTTGATGATTCAGAACATTAGGCAGGGTAGAGGGTAGCATAATAAAGCCTTTGCTAGTAAATTCCTTTACTTAAAATAACCATCATGCCAGGGATCCATATCTTGAAGTGGCAGTTCCTGGACTCAGTCACTTCCCCTATCTGAAATGACCTTACAATTTTCACACAGAAATTAGTAGCTAAAGAAAGGAAAATCAGATCAGTAATCAAATGGCAGTGAACTTTCAAAGAGAGAAAAGAACATAAATTAGAATAGTACTAAACAGCAAAAGACAAATCTAAGCACATATCTCCAAACCCCATTAAGCCAGCTTCAGATTAAATCTAAGTCTGGTGGCACATGCCTGAAATCCTAGCATTTGGGAGGCAAGGTTAGCTTGATTGTTCTCTCTCTCTGTATGTGTGTGTCTGATTGGTAGGGGGAGGTGAAAAGTTTGAAGCCCCCATAGTAACACCTACACCGGTGTAGTAAGTCAGATCAGGTGGAGTTAGTAAATCCAGGTTTCATTTGAGCAGAGCATTCCTGGGTGGTCCCAGGAAAAGAGGAGAAGCCATGAAGGGAAACCAAGAGGGGAAGGCTTGGGCCTGAACTTAAACACCCTCTGGGGGTGGAGCTGCTGGGTAGCAGGCTTTCTCAGTGGGATGGAGTGTTAGAGGGGGCAGCTGAGGGTGGGGTTTGGAAAAGGCAGCTCCAGGAAATATCCCCAATAGTAGGAATCAATGAATGATCCTCAGAGAGAAAAGCTGTGTGTGTGTGTGTGTGTGTGTGTGTGTGTGTGTGTGTGTAGGTATGTGTGTATGTGTATGAGTGTGTGTGTGTTCGTGCCTCTGTGTGTGTGTGCGTGTGTGTGCACTTGCCTGTGTGTGTATGTGTGTGTATGTATGTGAGTGTGTGTTTGTGTGTAGGTGTGTGTGTATGTGTGTGAGTGTGTGTGTGCATGTTCGTGCCTCTGTGTGTGTGTGTGTGTGTGTGTGTGTGCGCGCCTGTGTGTGCCTGTGTGCTTAAAAGTCTTCTCTTATGGGGAAGGAAGTCCTGATCTGTGAATGGCTGTCTACTCCTTGGTGCTATCTGCCTCTGGGGCTTAGGAAATGGCAAGTCGAGGCATAAGGGAATCTAAAAGAAAAATGAGAAGAGGATTCTCATTGTAAACCAGGACATGTAAATATGAGTGAATAAAAAGAATTCATAGTACTTAAATATTTTTCTAATTTATGTGTGGTGACATTTTGTTTATGATACAAGCTTTTCTGAAGACCAGAGTGCAAAACTAGCCACACTAGTCAACCATAGAGGCCAGACAGTGGTGGCCACATCTTTAATCCCAGCACTCAGGGGACAAAGGTAGAGGGAGCTCTGTTAGTTCAAGGCCACCCTGAGCTATACAAAATTGATCCAGTCTAAAAGAGAAGCAGAGCTCACACAAAGGTGATCTCAGCACTTTTAATTCCATGCCTTTAATCCCAGCACTAGAGAGGAATATAAGGCAGGAGGAGACTGGAACTTAGGGCAGTCTGAGGTTCAGTGGATCACCTCCTTGGTCTGGGCATTGGTAGAGATAATAACATGGTGGCTTGGCTACTTTACTCTGACCTTCAGCTTTAACCCCAATATTTGTCTCTGGATTTATTATTAATACTAAGTATAATTTGTGCTACATTGATGGATTTTTGTGTGAGTTTGGGGTTAGAGGTATAGAAATAAATAAGAAATCTGGTTGAAAGGGAGATTTCTTGTGTCTTGTGAGAGGTGTTGCTGTGCTTCTAAAGGGAAAGCTTTTCTCCTTTCCTAGGCTGCACCCTAGGTGGGTTTGTAGTCCTACCTGGTGTGTGTGAGTCCACAGGGTTGTTTGTTTATTTATTTATTTTTCTTTTCAATCAGTAAGGTTTCTATAAAGAAAAGAATGTAGGGGGCTTGAGAGTATGGAAATAGAATGCTTTCTTTGAAACAACTGTGTTGTGGATTAAGGATGGACACTGAGACAGATTGTTGAAGGTAAGAAGTTTATTAATGTCATGGACAGACAGCAACATGGTTAAGCTCTGAGAGGAGTTCAGGACCCAGCACCAGAGACAGACAGCATGTCTGGGGCCTCTGAAGAGGCGAATCAGATTTGTGGCAGAAGCAGGGGTCCCATTTTATATCTCCCTGGGAACTGAGATGGTTGCATAGCAGCACAAGCCTGCTATGGTATCAGGCTCTGAGTTCCAGGTAAGAGAAAGGGAAGGGCACAAACAGTGGGTTGTGGTCACTAATACACACTTTGATATAAAACTCACTTCCCCATGTGAGAAATCCTGATACCTGAAGGTCTATTCACCAGAAATGTGTAGACAATGTCTCAGTGGTATCTATGAGAGTTGGAGGGTGCTGCAGGTATTGGAGCCTGAGCAACAGTAAATGCTAACTTTTTTTTTTTTTTTTTTTTTTTTTTTGAGGCAGGGTCTCACTATGTAGTGATGGTTGACCTGAATTTGTAACGATCCACCAGCCTCTGCTTCCCAAGTGTTTGGATTAAAGGCCCTAACATTACATTCTTACATCCTTATGATATTACAATGATGGCACTAAACTTCTATAACAAAGTTTTGAAATTTATTGAAAGAGCATGTTGAGGGCCTTTTGGTACAGGGATGGTCTTACAATGGGTGTTTCACCTTTATCTTTCTTAGGCCTTGTAGTACTGTCTATCAAAAGAATTCAGAAAGGGGTCAGTAAGAGCTAAAGGGGCTTGCTGCCAAGCCTGACAGCCTGTGTTTGACTCCTGAGACCCACACGATGGAAGGAGAGAAGTGACTCCCAAACGTTTTCTTATGACCTCCATATTCAGGCCATAGCATGTGTGTATACATACAGATACGCATACACATAAAATACATTAAAATGTAAGTGTCCAACACTTTGCAGGAAGAGGCAGGCTAATCTCTGTGAGTTCCAAGCCAGCTGGGATACACAGGTCCCTATAAAGGAACCATTGTGCCACCTTATATTATAGACAGGCTATATATTTCTATCATTTCTAGGGAAAGCAACTTTTCTTGCCAAAGTGGTTGACAGGTTTGTAGTTCTACCCTTATGAAAGCAGGCAATTGCATGTCTCAGTTCTTTGTCAGAAATCCTCCTTCAATACATAGTCATACAAGGTTGAAATGACATTAGAGTAGAAAAGACTCCTGGCAAGAGAATAGCATTGCTGGGCTGGATGGAGACCTAGGATTACAGTTGGGGGCAGGATCATTTCTTGGCCTAGGGACAAGAAGGTATACTCACGTTAATCCATGCTAATGAGATAGGCAGAATAATTAGTCCTCTAATGAGACACCCTATTTTTTCTCCCCCGAATCCCAGCTCCTAGTGCAGTAACTGATGGGCCACAGCCATGTAAGCCTTTGTAAGTCTTCCCAATTTCTGAATTAGTCCTTTCCCCTTTCTTCTGTCTCTTCTCTAAGCATGCTTTCCTTAACACTTAGGGCCTTCCCTTCAGCATTTTCAGTTTTCTTACTCTTTCCTTAGACTCCTCCCTGTGCCATGTGGCTACTTGTCTGCTATGTGTCTGACCTCCATGCCAGTATAAAATGGCCTTTATCCTTTCTATGTGCCAGTCTCCTCCTCCAGGAAGCTGTTGTGGCTTTGCAGTTTGCTTGCCCTGAGGGTTTCCTTTTTTAACTCTGATAAAATTATCCTTGAT